GACAACTACTGAAGGGAGGCGCTGTCTTCCATCATAAAAATGAACATAATACAGTTGAATTCTCTTATGAGGAAAAACAAATAATTTACTTTTATCATTTAATGGTGGTCCTGTGGTTTGAATGTTTCCTAAAATTTCACGCATGTGTTGGTAACATAACTTATTTAAAGGTGGAAACTTAATCCCGCTATGGTGTTGAAATATGGCGGCTTTTTGGAGGTGATTAGGATTAGAGAACGTCATCAGGATAGGGTCCCATGGTTGATTCCTGGGGCTTTGTATGAGGGAGTCAGACCAGAGCAGGCAGGGACATCATCCCAGAAGCTCTTGCCCTCTTGTGGCATGTGATGCCCTGTACCTGGGACTACACAGAGATTCCACACCAGAAAGACCTTTGTCACATAAGCTCTTAGACCTTGGACGTCCAAAATCATGAGCTAAATAAATCTCTGTTGTTTAAAAATTACTCAGCTTGTGCTATTATGTTGTTAGTGACATAAAAGTTGACTAAGACAACTGGTATGAATTTTATTACTCTAGGATGAATGAAAATGTTACTTTTTGCAGTTTACCTCTTAAAGTAATAGTGAAAGCCTTATAGGATTTATGTTTTAGCCCTGGAAATTGTGATTTTATGTGGACTCTGCTATAATATTCTGCTTTTGCACATGCATGTATGGATCATGTCTCATTGAATGCTAGTGCCATTTCTCTTTTTCCTTTTGCTGGTAGTCCATGTATATTGAGTAGAGTGAATCACATTTTCAATTTGCAGTTGAAAGCATGTAACTACAAAACAGTGTTCAGAGTCTGCTGGTGAATTAATTATAATGTTTAAGATTGGAAGTCTGTTCAAGGCAGTGCAAAAGAAACTTGCTTTGAGAACTTTGCCCTCAAAAGTACATGCATAAGCCTGGCCTGTATGCTCAGATGTGGGGGAGACAGAAGTACTGGTAGACAGAGCAAGTATTGAAATAAGAGTGAGCAACAGGCCCAGTCGGGTGGCACAGTACATTGCATACCGAACGGTAGTGCAGGAAGCCACATGGATAACTGCAGTTTTGCATCCCTGGGTCAGCCTGAAAACATGCTGAGCACACACAGGTGCCCAAGACCCTGATGAGCTGGAGGGCTGGGGAGAGGGGCTCACAGCATTACAAACCCTGTCGAGGGTGACCTCTCTCTCTCTCTCTCAATGGGCAAGACACTAACAAAGCATTTGATGAGGAAGCACCAAGTGCTTCTGTGGTTCACGCAGGGACCAACTGTTAGGGAAATGGGGCTATCAGTCAACAGGTGATGCAGAATGGTATCCCTGGCACTTTTGCTGACTCATTCCTTTTTTCGTTCTGTTTTTTTTTTTTTTTCCTGATTCCTTATTGAAAGAATGACCCCCAAGTATATGGTTTTGAGACAAAGGGAGTTTCTTAGATACTTTTCTTCTTACTAAGACATTTCTTCATAATGTAGAAATGACTTTTCACACATACCTAAGATGCCTTTTAAGATGGCAGTAGCATCAGAGGGAATGATATAACGCCATTTGGGATGATATTCTTACCATGTACTTTTTCTTTTCATTGTCTGCAGAATTTCCCATGTTCTACTTTGCAATGTAACCCAGAGGGTGTCATTCTGGTTTGTGGTTACAGATCCTTCACAAAATCACACTCTTCCTGCTGTTGAAGTTCAGTCAGCCATAAGGTAATCACCTCAAATGTGTCTTCTATTGTCAATCAGCGTGTTGATTGAATATACTATTTTCAAGATATTGAACATTTCTCTCTTTCCTCCACACACTTCATTTATTATGATGTTAAAGATTTTATTTTGTTAATTTCTATTAGAGGTTGGGTAGATCATTGGTTCTCATCTAGGGTCTATCTGCCTTCAAGGAGACATTTGGTAATATCTGGCAACATTTTGTAATATCTGGAAACATTTATGCACACATGCCCTATAGCAAATTAAAAAAATAATAATAAATAAAATTAAAATTCTTGAACATAAGTATTAGATAAGAATATTTAATATTATATTCTTTTGGCAAGAACATGTTGAATGACATCATTCTATGATGAATCATCACATTGACTCTGGAGCCAAAATATGTAGGTTTTTAATTCCGGCTTTGCTTCTTGCTAATTATTTAAATACAGACAAGTTACTTATTCTCTTTTTGCCTTTCTCTTGTCACCTGTAAAATGAGAATAATTATGGTATCCCTCTCTCAGAATTGCTGACAAGATTAAACAAGTTAATAAATGTAAGGTGGTTTGAGGTCAAATAATTTTTTTACTTTTATTTATTTATTTTCCCTTTTAAAGAATTATTTATTTAATTTTATTTATTATTATAATTCTTTTTAATTTGCTAAAGGGTATGTACACTCATCAGAGGGAGAGAGAGAGAGAGAATGAGAGAAAGCAAGCCACCAGGTCTGGGACTTGAACTGTGGTCGATCTGGGAGTCCAGTGCCTTAACCACCACTCCACCTGCTGACCCCTCACTTTCATTTTAAAACCAAGCAAAATATTCACATTTCCTGGCTCTCTAAGGATGGCCAATGTACAATCTTTACCTTTAAAGGACACTGTAAAAAAAATAAAAAGGTAAAATCATGACTTTCTACACATTAAAAATGAATAGCAATGATTTTTATTATCTCTCTAATTACTGAGGGAACTAGTAAGAGGTTAAAACTATTTCAAAGGAGACTTCAGGGATCTTATATAGAAAATGAGGGATGGCAAAATGCATTTAGCAAAAGATGCATCAATGTATCTATGACACAGTGATCAATCATGTTCCACCAAACACAACTTGATTTTCTATGCAGAAGAATCATCTACATTATGTCAGTTTTCTAGAACTTCTGAACTCATAAAATAGCTCAGACAGTGAGAGATAGAAATTACCCACTAGGTACCCCAAGCACAATATTAAGTAAAAAGTCCAGTACTCCTTTGTTTCTATTTGTAGTCTTTCACCATTTTTCCTGACACCTGTCCCCCTCCCCACTTTGTGATCACAATAAATGTTCAAAAGTGAAACTAATTCACTACTGTAAAGAAGCAGAAGGCTGCAATTTATATTTTATTTCAATTAATGTGCACTTCATGTGTGTCAAAATTTCCAATACCACATGTGATTGATGTGGGACAAAAGTATATTGGAAAAATGAGCTCAACAAAGTAACTCTTCCCACAAAAGATTTATAAGTTACTAAAACGCATATTATTCTCTCTACCCAGGAGAAATAGCTAGCGAAATAACTTATGCGCGCCCTGTAAAACATTAACACTTAAGATAATGAGTATATAATCAAATGCCAAAGGTTTGTGTGAACAGTCATCCATTTCCCTTGCTGAAGCAAGGGCACCGAGGATCAATGTCATTGGGAAATGGCTTAATCTGCTCTAACATGGTGTGAACTAAATTGTTTATGCACTTTCCCCGCTAAGCATACTGTTAAGACCAACTATGAAGCAAGTTAAAAAAAAATGACATGTTTCATGTGAAAAGGGATTTTATTCAAGCCTTGTGATCTAGGTGGGCTGCAAGGAAAGTGAAGGCACTGTGGTTAAACCAGGCTTCAATTGATGTGAGGAAGAAAAGCAACTGCTTGGAGTGATGGATATGTTCAGAACAAATGTCTGTTTGAGGTCCTTCCTAGCAAGAGAAGCTATTGGGTCGTCAGAAAAGTCATGACACATTTTTGTGTAGAAAAACATAGAAAAATACTAATGACTTTTCAGACGACTCAATATTTAGGGAGATGTGGGTGGCTAGTAGAATGAGACTTTATGTTAGGGGGTGAGTAAGGTATATCAGGATTGGATGCAAGAAAAGAAACCATACCAAGAGGGAAGGATAGAGTGAACAACAAGGAGATGATACTTAGAGGGCACAAAATAATACTTGTAAATACATTCTATTTCAAAAGGCATGTTCTTTTTTTTTTTTTTTGAGAGGGTTTTTTTTCACTATAGGGTGCGTGCGCTTGCCAGACAGAGAGAGACATAGAGACAGAAAGCGAGAAATCACCCCCCAGGGGGGATGGTGACGCCACAATCCCTTCTCCTCCATTCTCCTCCCGGGATCTTGGGCAGGCACGCACACGTGCCCGGCGTGAGTTTTAAGCCACCGGGTCTGGGACACAAACCGCGGTTGACTACGTGGGAGTCCAGTGACATAGCCATTACGCTAACTGCTGGTTCCCACAAGGCATGTTCTTATGCATCCGTGGCATTTAATGCTAACCCTGATAACTTTTGAGTAGTTTCTATTACCTGATTTATAAATGAAGAAACTGAGGCTCTTTGGTAAATTGTTTTGGGAGATTAATTGATTTTCTGAGGCTACTAGGCTAGAAAGAAAGAATGAAGACTTGACCCTAGGCATGCTGCCACCAAACCCTATGATTTTCCTCATAGAGAATTCACACCTATGGAATGAGGCGAGGGAATGACCAGCTAGTTGTAAGATGCCTGGGGTAGCTCTCTGGTGAGGGTTCAACTTAACTCAATAGCCAACCTTCTTCTGAAGCCCCAGCTTCTTCTGGAGGAAAATGTTTAATCTGTACCTGAATGAGAATCCAATCAGCCAGAAAGGTGATAGAGTACATTCCCAGCCTGAAGAAAGAAAATGACAACCAGGTAGAATGAGAATGCAGAGCAACTTTCCATTTTTCTCAGAGTTATATCTTAACAGTGGAGTTCATTATTTTGTGGCAAGTTTTATGTTCCCAGATTATCAATATTAGGTTATAAAAAAAGAAAACATTCTGTAGTTTGATAGAAATTGCATTCAAATTGTCCTTTGCTGTGGACGATCTGACTGGGGTTGTCTTTTGCAGCCATAAACGATCACATCTTGGTATAAATTTTTATTTGCTAAGGGAGGTCTTCCCTGATGGCCTGTAGAAATTCTCAACCATTGCTATTAGGCTTTAGATCTGAGCTGTTTGACACAATGGCTACTAGTCACATTTGGTTATGATGCCCTTGAAAATGAGATTTACTCTAGGGGTAAAATACACGCTGAATTTCTTAGACTTAGTACAAACTACAATGTGAACCTGTTCAATATTGATTACATGTTGAAATTATATTTTCTTGGCTACATTGGACAAAAGATGAATCTTTTAAATTAATTTTTACACCTGTTTTTTTGTTTTCATTTGCTTATTTGTACATTTTAACTTTTTAAAAGATTCTTTTTATTTTTTTTGGAGTGGTTTTTGCTATAGGGCGTGTGCACTCTCCAGAAAGACAGAGAGAAACAGAGAGTGAGAAATCACCTCCCAGGGGGGATGGCCACACCACAATCCCTTCTCCTCCATTCTTCTCTCGGGATCTTGGGCACGCATGCACATACGCCTGGCATGAGTTTAAGCCACCAGGTCTGGGACTCGAACCAGGGTTGACTACATGGGAGTCCAGCAACATAGCCATTATGCCAACTGCTGGTCCCAAGATTCTTATTTTTATCACAGAGCATATGCTGGAGAGAGACAGGGAGAACATGAGAAATCACCCCCTAGGGGGATGACCATGCCACAATACTTTCTCCATTCTCCTCTTGAGATTTTGGGCACATATGTACACATGCCTGGCATGACTTTTGAGCTGCTGGGGCTAGGACTTGAACTGTGGTTGTCCATGTGGGAGTCTAATACCTTAATCACCATGCCACCTGCTGGCCCTGTTTTTACTTTTTTAGTGCAGTTGCTAGAAAATTTTGTCACATGAGGCTGACATCATATTTCCATTGTTCAGGGCTGCTCTAAAGGTAGATGAAGTCAGCTTTTGCAATGTGGATTCAATAACAGCCCTAAAATGTCTAGGGAATTTCCTCACCTACATTGCAAATTGTAGTTAGAAATTCACTTTGGTTTTAGTTAAGTAAGTCATCGCTACCAACCCTTCTCTAATTGCCATCGCCGTCCCAACTACAGACTTTTTCCAGGAAAAGTAACATATTTTTAATATATTTTTCTAGACTTCTGGACTTCTAAACCATTGCCTTTGGTCCTATGGGACTACTTGCAGTTTACCAAACATGTCATGCTTTACTATGTCTTCATTCCTGTGCTCCATGCACACTTGGGTCAAGAACTCAGCTCAAAAATTGCCTCCTAACTAAGGAAGGCAGCCCTGACTTCTCACTGTAATATACTTGGCCCTATTCTGTGCTCCCATGGTACCCATGTTTGCTTCTTTCACAGAACTTTTTGCACTGCTTTGTGGTTATGGCTGTGCTACATTTGCCACTCTGTAGACTGTAAACTCCTTGCTATTTTTATTTCATTTTGTGTCTCTAGCACTTGGCACTGTATCTGATACTTAGTACATTTTGGCAAATGCTAGTAGAATGAATGGGGAAAACAATGTTTAATTTGTTGAATTAGAATTAGGAGCTACTCCTGGTTCTTGTTTTCTCATCTGCTCCCAGTCTTCTTTTCTTTTGCTTATCATCCACATTTTTCATGTAATTTTATTTTTGGGAGTTGCTGACATTTATGTAACCACCTTAAATAGATTTGTGCCATTCTAATTTAGATGCTACCTTTTAGAAAAAAAAAAAAAAAGAAAAAACAGAAAACATAGTGGGAAGAAATCCAAACTCAGGACTTCTGGTGACTTCTAGGACATATGTGACAAGGGAGGGCCATGGGGCTGAGATGGACATCTCAATGGCAGCCAGCATCACAACTTTTATTAAAAGAAACAATGGTGTAATTGCCCTCAGCAAATTTTCTAGTCAACTTCAAGTCTCCTGCTGGGAAGATACTTTCTTTATAGAGACAAATGATTATGGAGAGGAAAGGTCTGTACTATGTTGCTAATTATTTTTTCTATCTTTTTTTTGTTGTTTTGAATTATCATTGTATTTTAGAATGAATAGGAACCGGATCAACAATGCCTTTTTTTTGAATGACCAGACTCTAGAATTTTTAAAAATTCCTAGCACTCTTGCACCACCCACGGACCCATCTGTGCCCATCTGGATTATCATCTTTGGTGTGATATTTTGCATTGTCATAATTGCGATTATATTGCTGATTTTATCAGGGATCCGGCAACGTAGAAGGTAAGATACTTAAACAGAATGATTTTTTAAAAAGAATTATTTTATTTATGTTTATTTATTTAATTTGATTTGACCAGAGAGGGACAGAGTGTGAGAGAGAGTGAGATAATGAGAGAAGGAAAGTTAGAAAGCAAGCTGCCAGGTCTGGGATTTGAACCACTTGAACCGTGACCAGCCAAGTGGGAGTCCAGCACCCTTAACTACCACACCACCTGCTGGCCCCAAACAGAATGATTGAAAGAGCATTTGTCAGGCTGGCCGCAGCGCCTAGTGGTTAAAGGGAGCCAGAGCCCACAGGACTAACTGTGGTTCAAATCCTGGCCCTGGCAACTTGAAAAACATGGTGACTTGAAAAACACACTGAGCATGTGTGTGTGTATGCATGCCCCAAATCCTAACAGGATGGAGAAATGGAGAAGAAAAGATTCTAGCATGAGCACAGCCATCTGGGGGGAGTTGTTTTCTCCCACTTTCTCTGTCCCTCATCTCTTTTCTGGTGAGCACATGTGCCTTGTGGCAATTAAGAAAAAAAGGGCATTGTTTTCTATTTCCTCATGAGTTGGAAACATAAGGAGAGGATTTTCCTCTGAATTAAGATAATGTCTTAAATTTGAAAACTAGAAAAAATTGATTTTCAAAAGATCACTTACGTTCTTGTCTTTAGGCTTACTGGGCTGGAGATTTGGCCATGGTCACCATGTGGGATCCAGCTTTTCTTGAGCAATGCATTACCACTGGCCCTTGGAGCTGGCCTAGCAGTTCTATGGTTCTTCCCATGACTCTTTACCTTGACCCAGTGCTCACTGGCCACCATATTGTAACAGATACCCATGTACTGATTTATCCTTCCCTCCCTTTGATGAATGTTCATACCCCTGGAGCCTATGATGTATATAGAACTGTAGTCCTGGTGGCCCTTGAATCAACTCTCTGCATCAGAATCATCTGGAACGCTTTTTTAAAATGTAGATTCTTTGGCCCTGTTGCAGACCTATTAAATAAGAATCTCTAAAGGGGATGCATTTTAATAGATATCCAGGTTATTCTAATTTACTTAGTTTGAGAGCATTCAGTTTAACAACTTGTATATAGATTCCCACTCCTTGAGTTTATTTACTTAGATTTTGGGGCACTTGCAAACTTTAAATGTCTAAATTATTGACATGGCTCCAAGAGAGAATTTTAGATTAGAGAGAGTTATGGAGGTAGTGGACGCGAGGAGACAGCATTTCTCGGTATGGTACAGGGAGAAAAGAATTTTTGTTTACAATCCAGAAGAGGAGACGAAAAAGTCCTTTACTCTTCACTAAACACTTTGGTGTTCCTAAACTTTCGCTTGTGATAATGAGAAAGAGGAATTCTGGTAAGTGGACATCACAGGGACACGCATTTCAAAGTCATAGGGACATAGTTTTCCAAAAGCATTGGTACCCAAGTGGGACATGCAGGATGTATTTGACTAAGTTTATGTTTGAGTAAATGCTTCTCCGGAGGTTTACTATTTTCTATATGTTTCACCCTAGTTACTAACAGAAGATAATCATTTTAAATCTTTGTAATTTTTTTCAAAAATGATAAGTGATATGATATGGGATGAATGTGTTTTATGTCAGGTACCCAAATTAAACTAAAAAAATTAGGATCAAGTTGTACCTGTTTGATTTTTTTGATGATCTTGGTATGTATGACATGTATGCAAGGAGATGGTACAAGTTATTTGTTTTGTTTTGGCTTTTGGTTTTAGAATATTAAGGAATAGTCTCTCTCTCTCTCTCTTTTCAATATCTGAATGCCTATGCTTAATTTTTAAAGTATCTGTCTTCTGTCAGTGAGAGAAACCTTAGACAGGGCCTCACACCATGATCTTTTCCCCACCCAGCCTTTCCCAGCCAGCCAGGATCACTGGCACACATGCACCCAGCATGCACTGGTCAGCGTGGGAACTGAACCTCAGTCTTCCATATGGCTTCCAGCATTGCAGAGAATTGTACCAAAGCTGCACCACTGTGGCTGACAGATATGTTTAATATTTGTAGGTTTTGTATTAGTCTTGGGATACTATGAGTCTGTGGTTTCTAACGATTGTAACATTGGTGAATTCACTTGATCTCCTTGGCTCCAAGCTTCCTCATTACTACAATATAGTGTAGGAGTTAGGAGAATGAACTCTGGAGTTAGATTACTTAGATTCAAAATATTTATCTGTTAGATTCTGCCCTCATATATGCTCCATTTGACTATATGAATATCAGGAAGCACAATAAATGAGTCAGGGAAACCTTGTTCAGGAGAATATGGTTTGTGGTGCTAAAGTCAAGGTGGACACATTTATCTTTGCTGCCTGTGCATAGATAACTTTTCTAGGGGACAGCAAGGTGCACTGGAAATAATTAACTTGGGATAAAAAGAATTAATACAGTGGGGTACTTAGAGTGGTACCTAGCACACAGTGAGTGCTCAGTAAGTGCTAACTGCTACTATTATTTTATTAGCTTGCCATTTGCTGGTCTTCCAGCTAGTTTGTGTTGGGATCAGCTATCTCTTCCCTTCTGAACAGATCCTGCAGTAATATAATAATTGGGTGTGTAGCATCATAATCTGTTGCCTGGGAGAAGTGAGGGTGTTGTCACAACCTTGCCTTTACAGATTCATTTCACGTTCAGACTTGGAAAGCAGATGGACAAATCTCTTGTGTAAACCTGGAAAGCATCAATAATTAGCAAATATAGTCAGGACAATTGTGACAACCTTCTGAAGAGAACTTGTTTCTTGTGTTTTATGTTTGATACAAATTGTGGTGGGCAAAATATTATTTCCAAGGTGACAAGAAAGTGCTGTTTGAAGTGGGAGAGCCCTGACAATGTAGATGAAAGCCCTTTCTAATCATGGAAAAGATGGGCATCATCCCCAAAGTCTTTAGTTTTGAGGAAGACAAAGAATTGTTCAACTCTCCTATCTGTCCATTATATGATAATGAACATAACTTGTGCAGTGCAGTATCTTAAACTGAGAACATCTAAAGGGACCACAGACTCATCTAAATCATCATTCTGCCTCTATGAATAAAAATGCCAGAGTCAAATAAGACATATGCTTGTTTAAGCGGACTTCTAAGGAAATTTCTCAAGCAAAACTTGAACAATTCTATTAGTTCTGTCAAGAACAATTTTGTATGGATTGTCCAAAGCCTCTGTGGAAAAAGTGCCATCATTAGAGCCCAAACTAGGAAGGCTGTAGTACCAGGTGCGCCCTTTACCTACATGATTTGGTCAGGTTATGTAGTTTACATGGGTCTCAGTTTTTCCATCTGCAATAGGGAGAAAATATTTCACTGGACTTTCATGAGGATTGAAGGACGTAAATGTATCAAGTACCCAGGATATATTGTATTGGGTTATCAGAAAAGTCATGACACCATTTTTGCATAGAAAATATGTGATCACTTTCTCTACAACCCAATAGTATGCTCAATAACAGAAATTATCATTATGATTAAGGGGTGCTGGGAAGAGATCTCATCTTTGGTTCAGTGACTCACAGCATGGAATTTTATTAGTTAATGAACACCTATATTATTAAAATATAGCTGACAAATGAAATTGCATATATTTGTGGTGTACAAGGTGACGTTTCAATAGAAATATATATTGTGAAATGGTTGAATTAAGCTAATTAACATATCTATCACCTCACTTGTCATTTTGTTGTGAGAATATTTAAGACCTATTCTCCAGGCAATTTGCAGGTATACAATACATTATTATTAGTTATAGTCACAGAGTCACCATTCTCTATAATAGCTCTCTTAAAAACTTATTCATCCTATCTGACAGAAATTTGTAGTCTTGGACAAACAACTCCCCATTCCCTCACCCCTATTCACAGCTTTTGGCAACCATCATTCTACACTCTGCTTTTATGAATTTGACTCTTTTAGACTCCACATACAAGCAAGATCATGTGGCATTTGTTTTTCTACTCCTGGCTTATTTCACTTAGCATTATATCTTCCAGGTTTATCCATATTGTTGCAAGTGACAAGATATTCTTATTTTAAATGGCTGAATAGTATTCCATTGTGTTCACACACACACACACACACACACACACACACACACG